GTAGTGTACACGCTGTGTCAAAGCACGTAATTAGTATTTAGGAAGGTGGTAAGAAAGGCGAGGTCGTGGGCCAGACGTCGGGTATCGATCCAGCGACCTGCCCCACGCTTTACCACCCCAGGGGGAAGTAGGGGGTAACGCACATCGAGCCACCAATTGACACACTTAAGGTAATACTTGGCACTTACGACGTCGCCTTCATAGTTTGGTCGAAGACTAGTGAATGTTAAGTTTTTATGACTCTCGAAAGAATTAAAAGAAGCAGCTTTTATTAAAGTACAAAAAGACCCCTTCTGAAAAAAAACTGTTCTTTATTATCCTTTTCATTCTGATGTACCTACCAGTTACAGTATTCTCGTAGTTTATCATTAAATTTGCATTCTAAGCACATATACCAATCATAACGCAAATCAGTAATACTAAATAGAAACGACCTTGTACTTGCAACCATCAAGCTTTATTATTCTTTATGGTAGAAATTCACGAAGTCCTAGTAATATTGGATGTAATGTGTATCGCGGGTTTGGCTGTGTAGTTGAAACTTGCAGAAAGCTCGACCCAGTTGGCTTGGAGCCCGCCTGTAGGTCATAGCATCATACAGATATGCGACTCGCTTTATTTAACCTTGAATAGAATTTATATTCATGTGACCTTCATATAAATGTTTGCATTGTAGTTCCGTGCGTTTATTATTTAGTATTGAAATTATCTTTCTTGCAATGGAGCAAACACTAGAGTAAATTTACAAACAGAAAATTATCCCAAACATATTCCGGTATTCCACAATTGTCCGTTTCCATAACACACGCTAAGGAAGTTTGTACGTAGGTACCTGTCCTACGAACAGATGGCAAAATTTTGATTGGTTCATTATTCGATTTTAAAATTCCTTACAACGTATCTTTTGTGTGTAATAAAATTTACATGCTTTTAAACTAATTCAAATTACTAAGAAAGAACTTAAGTTCATTGCAGCTCAACGTAATTTAAAAACGTATTCCACAAAAATCTGTAAAGATGGACAAAGGAGTAAACTATTACCAATTGCAAAAAAATCATAGAAATCTATTTTTTTATTATATTAAATTGTAATTATAATTTCAGATATAAAGGGTATGCTAAAATTTCAGTTTGGCGCCAATATCTAATAATATCTATTAATTCATAACAACCATGTATGTACAATCCATAATTATTACCAACTTCTAACAACTAGGAATTTATTTTTATCTTTTAACCTTAATACTTAACTACTTATTTACGTACTTACCTAAGTATTTCGTGTTCTAAAAGTTATCTTAACATCCGCAGGTAGGACTTTGCAAACAAATTAATTTCTATATAAAGACAGTTTCCGCAAAGGAATTACGGTTGAAAATAAGCAGAACACGCAGATTGTCCGTAGCGAGCGATGTCGCGTCGTTGCTGCACTTTGGGCTTTAGGGGGTTAGACATTCAATGGGTGGCAGGGGGAGGTGTAAAATCACCCACAATCATTTATACCCGAACTGCCTGCAGAATTACTAGCCGTCAGCTTTGCGACGAAATTCCTGTACTCAATGTAGGTACAGATATAGTATACCTAAGACTTATTCGAAAATTTTACATTAAAACCAATGCACACCGAAATGAAATATACCAATACAAGTAAGGTTGTTTCAAAAATTAAAAATTTATACGAATTCGTCTGTACATTAAGTTACTTAAAAGCACAGATAAAATAATATTACATACTTAAAAGAAACGAACGGATTTAGTTAGATATATATATTAATTATATACTAGCTGTGCCCGCGACTTCGTCCGCGTTTATCAAATAAAAAAAAAGATTGAATAACGTAACCAAAAAAATCCAGAGTAAAAAATTTTATTACCCTTTTCAATCCCTAACAACTTTTTTTCGCCTAACCTATATACTTTCTCATGGTCCAGGCTATCTATACTAAATTTCATTTAAATCGATTCAGTAGTTTTGGCGTGGAAGCGAGACAGGCAGACAGTTACTTTCGCAATTATACTATTAGTAAGGATAAGGATATCTTATTTATCCAATTTTAGGAGATATTCGTTTACATTCTTTGAACATAAAGTAAAAAAAACAGTTATATATAATCATATAAATTCACGACGAAGCTTATTTTGTAATTATTTAGTAGGTATCTATGAAAACAATAATATAGAAATGGAATATTCGCGAGTATTGAGGTTGTTCGAGAGTCGCACGAGGCCACGTGGTGAGATGCGACATTTTAGTTATTTGTGTCAGGAGCCTGCATCCGTGACCCACTTCAAAACACCCCATCCCAAACTCCCACACTGTCGTACATTTTGGTCTACGTTATATTAAATGATGCTTATATTGCCAACTAGTTTTCGTTTACTGATGTATATAAAGATGAAAGCATTGGTATTTTTCTTATAAAGGTTAGCTATGTTTTTACTTACACGTATCTAGAATAGTAATAAATACACAAATATCTACATGTAATTACATACATAGTTATATTTGTAGCCTCTTCTTGACCATTTGTAGTTGTAAGTTTTCATAGAATTGATTTAATTTTCAATTCAATAAAGTAATTTTAATGGCTTTTAGTGTTCCGAACCAAAAAGATGTAAAAGAAACGGAAACTTCTGGTGCGACATCCGGTGCTATATCCTTCCCCTCTGTCACAGCAGAATTTACAAATTTCAGGAAAAATTTACTGTATTCGTTGTGGCGTAATTAATCACCACATATATAAACCCCAAAGATAATAAGTTCGAATCCAGTTCTAACTATTCTAACTAATGATTGATGGGCATCGTGGCCTAGATGATTATTATTGCTACCGTTCACCGCTAAGAAAACCCTTTTTGCTGTGGCTCCTCAATTCCAGAACACGTCCGTTACCATTTCTAAGAGTATTGGGATTCTCTGTGTCGACATCTCTAGTACTGTTGAGTTCCACAGTCACCTGGAAGGAAAGGTAAAGCTGGCGTCCAAGAAGCTCGGTGTGCTCAATAGAGCGAGGCGGTACTTCACTGCGGACCAGAGAATTCTCTTATATAAGTCACAGGTTCGGCCGCACATGGAGTACTGCTCTCATCTTTGGGCGGGAGCACCTGGATACCAGCTCGATCCTTTTGACTCGGTTCAGAGAGTATTCGGCGGTATCGAGCCACTTAGCTTGAGGCGAGACTTCGCTTCGCTTTGTGTGTTCTACCGATTATACAATGGACTGTGTTCTGAGGAATTGTTCGACATGATGCCGACAGCCACCTTTTACCACCGCACCGCTCGCCATCGACAGGGAATACACGCTGGAACCTAAGTGGTCCCGAACAGTGCGGTTTCAGAGGAGTTTCCTCCCGCGTACACTTAGATTGTGGAATAAACTTCCTGCCGAGGTTTTCCCACGAGACTACAGCATGGGGTTTTTCAAGAAGGGTATATTAAGGTTTCTTAAGAGTCGGCAACGCGCGCGTGATACCCCGGGTGTTCATAGGCTACGGTAACCGTTTACTATCAGATGGGCCGTAAGCTTGATTGCCACCATCATAGTATAAAAAAAAATTGCAATTTATAATCAGAGGATGCCGAGTTAAAATCTGCCCGTTACTAAAAAAACTGTCTATACTGTGAAATTTATATTTCTGACTCTCTATTAAAAGAAACACCCATAACAAAAACTAAAAATAAAACCGAAAGACACCAATAGCTCCAATGTCCAATGTGACAGAGAATTATAACTTTTACATAAAAATGTATTAATAATGAAAGTGTAGAACCAAAACCTTGTTTTTGTATTGTATAAATTAAAAAAATACTTCACTAATTTCATTATCTAGCTGACCGTACTAATACTATACATGGTGGCTGTCTGTATAGTTTCTCTTTGTAGTTAATATTTCACCCAAACCGTTAATAGAAAAAATACATCAAAAAGGAAACGGATATCTTTACTAGCTTACTTCCCAGGCGCAGCCCACCAGAAATGTCAACTGACGAAGCTCCTCGTTACTCAAATACTCTATTTTTGGCCTTTATATGGGAATATTTTCACCCTCATCAAGTTTGTACGAGATTTTGACCTACGAAAATCGATAAAAAATATTACGGGATTAAACCGTAAAACTGAACTAATAAACGAGTATTATCAATTTTTTTTTATTTCTTCGTACGAGGCTGTCTTTTAGGATGGGCAATGTAGCAGGGTCGCCAATTCTATACTATATACTCAAACCTGTATTCACCTTAAATTTAGTCAAGATGTGTACCGAAGTTATGAAAAGGGACCAAATAGATAAAGGAACGGTCAAACTGGCATCTATAATATAAGCATCTATTACTTTTGCTCCTCCCTCTTTATATAAATGGTTATTTTAAGTGGAGAGTGGGAGAAACACTTTTAGTAATAATAATTAGTTGCCATTGGTAGCAATGTCTGGGAGACCTATACGCGATCCCCTGGTAAGGATCGTAATTATTTACTGGTGAACTCCTCACGTTGTACTAACCAACCTGGCTTCTCACTCAACCTGTGAATGATAAGTGTAACCAATTCTTTCCACAGTATACCTACGTTAGTTATAATAATTAATAAAAAATACTTTATTTAAATAATTTCCATTGATTATATTATATCTCTACTGATATAATATGAATATTTGAAAAATATTATTACCAAATGAAAAAACAAGCTCCATCAACTATTGTTGTTCTAGTAAATTTATACATATATGTGTATAAAATATGTATGTATAGACAATTAGCGAATTTTCTTAAAATATATTTATCGTAGATTATATAATAAAAGTCTAAAATCTCGGGGTATGTCTCATTTATTTCAAAAATATTTTCTATTTTTACGTAGATGTGTCTTGCACATTATATTTATTATACGTATATTATAAACTTAATTATAAAGAATCATTATTAACCCAAGTAATGAGAATATAAATAGCTATACCTACTTCGGTTGCTCCACTGTTGCATTAAAATAAAATAAGAACTTATTTTATTGCTTCGACTAAGAGCAGTTATGCAAAAACGTACTAAAAATTGTTTGATAAGGTATCATTAATCACCGTGTCTGCCTCGATTTTACGCCAGAATAATATACATAATATATGAATATATATCTATGAAGATACTTTTGGTTTTTTCGAACAATAAATATTACATTATTATTTCAGACTGTCAGATCAATCCTATCTCGGATCGGTATATTTTATAACAATAAACATACTCTTTAAAGCAAGTTCCGAATTATTGATAACAATGACGAACGCTGTTTCGCAGCTTTTTATAATATAATTATACACAAGCAATGTATTCATTTTGTATTTCGTCACTAATTACATTATTTTATTGTACTCTAAAAGAACAAAACTAAATTGAACGTAGTCGTAGACTATAGAGCTACGAACACTTGTTGCCTCTTTCATAATACAACTCGTATTCAATTCAACTCTACTTAGAACAACCGAATCGTCTTGTGTTTAACACAAGCAACACTGTACAACTATAATAAGACAATTACAATATAAATTATTCAACATAGGTCACTTATGGCCACTAATTTACTTATTTCTAGCATTACTACTAATCCTAATATTCTATTTACAGAAATAACTATACCGGTAATTTATTGTGAACAATCGATATTATTGAGATCTATTCTAATAGCCCGTCATCTTAGAATCCGCAATTCTTAAGGAATGTACGGAATTACAGGTCTCGAGGAGGGCGTATTATGTACTGCATTAAACCGTTAACAACATTAAACACAAACAACTACAATAAATGCAAAACCAATGTATAAACTTGAAATTACAAATATTTTAGTACAACAAGCATAATCTCTTTACGAGTAAAATAAATAACTTTGTAGCGAATAATTTTTTGGCATTACCTATTAATTAAAAAAACTATATTACAAAACTAAAGCTAATATTAAACTTAACTTGATTATAAATTGTATGACAACATATGAAATGTTTTGATGAATAAATTTGTCCAACAAAAACATTTTACATTTTGTATACGCATCAATTATGATATAATTACGCTCAATAATAAACAACACGATCATACAAACTTTCACCCAGGTTTCCCTGAAGATTGTATTATTGCTACGGTCCGTGTAACTTACTTAGAACAGACTCAATATCTATATTTTGTATGTTTGCTGAATTGAATAAATACTGAGCATCTGACTTAGATCTCTTACTGTCAGATACAGATTCATCAGATGTATTTTCACTTTGTAATCTTTTTCGTTTTTTTGATTCAAACTTTTCTTTGTCATCAACTTTTTCAACCTCCAATACTATTTCTGTTACAGTATATTCAGGATTTGATTGTTTTGGAGTAGCAGCTTTTAGAGGCGTGTCTAGACTTGTTAATGTAGAGTCAAATATATCATAACATTGCGCTTTTACTGATTGCTTTAACGGTGTGTAGAGACTTTCATATTTAGAAACTGATGTGCCTACTTCTTCTTCATTATGTGAATCACTTTTTGGATCCAAATCCAGAAGCGTACTAAAAGGAGTAGCTTTTAATCTAATCAAAATGCCATCATCTATGCATACCTCCATGGTAAATTTATCTTTTAATTTTATTGGCTCAGTTCTTGTCACATCTTTGCTAAAATCATGATGACACATAAAATAATTTGTACTCTCTTCATTACATTCCCACACTGATAGTTCTATTTCTTCTTCGTAGTCATCTGGCTCCTCTTGAGCTATTTGCAAATTATTATTTGATGCACTATTTTCAGATGTAACTGTTTTGTCTAATATTGTTTCCTCATTGGTCGACCCAAAGGGCATAGAAGATTTTAAAGACAATGTGCATTCTTGCTTGGAATAGGGGGGTGTATCTAACAAGTCCCGCTCTATAATCTTTGCTGTTTCAACATCAAATCCCCTTTTCACTAAATCACTTTGCAAACTTTCGCTTTCACTGAGACATGTATTACCAGATACAGTAGTTTCTATATATTTCTGTATTTTTGTTATATCTTCAATATCATTCGGAGCAATTTCTTTTGGTTTTACATCTTGGGATCCATCATCAGACCATCTAAGTGGAGGTGTATTACCATTGCCAAGGCGCTCCATATCAGAATCAAGTAAACCTAAAACTTTTGAATCCCGTCCCGAATTTTGTTTAGGAACACCAATTAAATCTGGAGAATCATGACCAGAACTCTCAGAATGAAATGATTTAGTACAAGGAAGTTTTCTAGGTGTAGAAGACTTTCTTCGGGATTTAGTAGGCACAATTATAGCTGCTGGTGCCAAGTGGTTATTTTTTTCTTTACTCGATGTTCGTTTTCGTGTCTGAGACTTTGATGTGAGAAGCTCAGAGCATTCGAATGTTTTCTTTCTACTTTTTCTTTCACTAAAAACTTTTGTCGGCGTGGGTCGTCTTGGTTTTATCCTCATAAAGGACTTCGATACCTCTATCTTTGGTGTTTTATGATTTTTCGCACTGGGTTTTTTCTTTTTAATAGACTTAGTTTTTGTCAGTGATGTGTTCTCTTGAAGTACTTTTGAAGTATTTTCTTTATTGCTTTTTTTATCACAATCATTATCATTCCCTATATCACTAGATGTATCTCCTACGTTTTTATCTTCTTTAGCCTTTTCATCTTTCGTTTTATTCAAGTTGGAATTATAGTAAGATACATTTTTAGTGCACTGCCGCACTGGTCTAGACGACCTTGTTCTATCTGTATTTTCTTTAACGTCTCCATCACTTTTAACTGGCGAATCTATACTTAAGTTTTCTTTTGATGATGTGCCTGAATATCCTAAACTCTTTAGATTAGGCATATAATCCTGATCGTCTGGTTTGTAATAAGATCCACCACTTGAATAGTCGGTAGGACGTGACGAATAAGAGGAAGGAGTAGCATCTACACCTTTTGAAATGTTCAAAAATCTAGGTGTAGGTATATTCATGATTTTAATATCCGACATAGGTTCATCTGGCAAATCGGGACCTAAAAATCTAGGAGTTTCCATCTGAATATCATAGAGAGCCTGTTTGTAAGGAGTTTCTAACAGATCTGATATATTAAGTCGAGAACATATGACATTTTGCAACGATATTCTTTCCAATTCAGGAGTATCATGTTCTTCATTAGATTTATTTTGATTTTTATCATTTCCATGATTAGACATACCCTTGTCAATAGCAGATACAATATTTATTGTAGGTTTAAGTATACAATCTACCTTTTCCAAACTTTTACTATCACTTGTTTCCAGTTTAGAACTGGAAGTTATTTTATTATTTTTTTGTTTAGACTTTTTCTTGGACTGTTGATTTGTTTTATCAGTATTATCTTTTTTAGCCTGACTTTCCGCTTTTTTCTTTTTATTAGACTTTGGCTTTGCCTTTATATGTGTATTTGACATTTCAAAATCATTTTTATCATTAGTTAACAGCGATCGCAAGTCAGCGTCCCAATTCTTCTTTAATATTGTTTTTTTTGTGGAATTTTCCTTAGATGATTCAATTTGACTGATCTTTGTCTCTTTATTATCATTAATTGCATTTACAACTTCTTTAGTACTTAAAATTGTAATATTTGGACTATGACTAAGTACTATATCTTCATTTACTTTAGCCTCATTTGATTCACACTCTTTTATTGTTTCATGTAATATTCGTCGTGGTGTCGTGAAATCCAATACTCGGACATGAGACGTTCTTCGTGGTGTTGATGATGACTTTCTTACCGGTGGTAAACCTTGGGGTGTACCAGTTTCAGTCGAACATGCAATAACACTATCTTTTGGTACTGAAGCACTAGTTCCATCTATTGCTTTAATAAGAGATGATGCACTACATGCTGCCCGTGGATTAACTACTGGTAAGTGTAAAATAGAAGATGACGTTGTTGATTCTGAAATTGGTGCAGTATTACTTGATGACACATCTATTGTTAAGGGTGGTAAAGATTGAACAGGAACATTATTCACTGATGCTGTATTATTTATCTTCTGTGGAATTATAGATTGTGGTTGAATATTCATATGATTTTGTGTAGTTCCTGTAATTATAATCCTTATTAGTACCAATATATATAATGATTACTTAAATATTACAATATAGAGTAGAATTATTACCTGAGACTGGTGCTATAATGATTGTAGGCATTGCCATAATCTCATCTTTAGTGTAATTAAGTCTTTCTTGTGGCGTAGGATTTCCAAAATGTGTTTTAGACTTATAAGCTGATGTACCGTTTATAACGATAGTTCGCATTTGTAATAAAGGTGTAGAAGTGGCATTTTGCAAAACTGGGGGCATTTTCATGCTACTATTACTTAAGGTCTCGTTGTCCACTTTTATGTCTGAAATAATCTTGATTCTACTATCGTCGCTCTTAGGTTTGAGTCGTGAATATGGACTACTGTTAAATTTTTCAACATCAATCACGTCGTCTAATTTTGGAACAGCTGCATCTTTAACGCTAGCTATTTTTAACAAATACTGTGTTTTAGTACTGTGTCTTGATAAATTGTCAGTATCAATATTCAGCTTCAGAGTATTCAAGTCATTGCTTACAGGAACTCTGCAAAATATCCACAATGGTAAAATCTTATAATTACTATACAATAATTCTAGAGGATTAAGTTATCTTAATTCTCCAGAATGGCAGGGTATTACGCCTGTGGTACCTCTTATTAGAGGTACCACGGGCGTCGCATGATAACGAGATGTATTCACATGTAAAATTTAATTAAGATCCGTTCAGCCATCTTTTCGTGAAAATATAATAAACAGACTGACATACACACTGTGGCATTTATAGTAGTATACATTATACTCGTAAATGCGAAAGCACCTAATTCTTTGTTATCATTACATAGTATAAAACAAAGTCGCTGTCGCTGTCTGTCCGTCCCTATGTATGCATAAATCTTTAAAACTACGAAATTGATTTTAAAGCGATTTTTTTAGTAGATAGAACACATGTACACCCGTGCAAAGTCGGGATGCGTTTATAATAAGATTCAGAATGCATTTAACTCTGCACCAAATTGCAACAAAGTTTATATTTAAGTAATTCCCTGATTACTAACATATATATACTTACTGCTGCATATTTATATTATCGGAAGTACTTGAATCAGGTACATTGACGCTATTATTATCACCACCTGAAATGCACAATTTGATATTTAACTATCTTTGTCTTTGATATCTACCTTTTCAATTAATAATAATTTTTCGTATGTAAAGATCTTGGATTGGATATTGAACCTTGAATATTTTGGAATTTCAAATAAATTTGTAATAGACGTAACCTTTATTTAACCACAACTAGTAATTTACACATTTACATTAAATCAGTACAACTACACTTCAATTACTCTATCCCTGGATATTAATCATTTTCTTTTTTAAAGTTGATGATTTTTATGTAATTACGAAAACCATATTTAATTTGACCCAGTAATCTTACGGCATTTTGTATGTTGCAAAACTATCATTATATCTTGAAACATTAATCATAATTAACATATTATGTGGATACACCATTATTATAGCTGTACCTAATATAACTAAACGATGAATATAAATTATCTTACATGATTATTATGCATGTTATAATTTTGTTGGATTGTACCGACAAAAAGTATTGTGAAAATATTATGCTCTACTTACTATTTACACCAGTTGCAAATTCTTGGAAAGTGCCAGCATTAGATATTCTGTCAATGTTATTAACTGTTTGTACATTATTTGTATTGGAATTGTTTTTATTACAAACTATATTGAGAATGTCATTGAATTCCTCAATCTTCTTCCTGGATTCCAACACATCTGTTGCTTTTACCTAAAAACCAGTGAATGACAATTTAAAGCGGACATTGCTTTGATTAATTTACAATCAATAAATAATATTAATTGATGATTAAATGAATGGCGGTAGACTTATTGCCTGCCATATTGGATTGTTGTATATATGTGAAATATCTATAAATATCAAATATGCGAGATGAGCGCAAGTTATTTAGCAGGTGAAATACACCAAATTTATTAATGTATGTTCTTATATACATCACTCACTTAGATTAGCTTTTCTAGTGGGATAAGGTTGACTAAAATATTGTCATTGATTTTTCCCAACCAGTTTTCAGCTAGTTATAATAATATAATTAAAGAAATAAGTGATGTATTAGGACAATGTTCTTAGAGAAAAGCTAATCTCAGCCATTTCTGAGATTAACTCAATTTTCCGATTTGGATGCGGTTTTCAGTAATAAATGGTGATAAAATTTACAGTCTCACACATACACATAAACATACAAAAATTTTAAAAAACCTAATTTTGGGTTTCAACAAGACATCAACATAATATTTTTGCATGTTTGCATAATATTTAAAGGACTTAATATGTATAACAAAAACTTATAGGGGTACTAAATCTTATGCTTTAGCTATCAATTTTATTTTTATTATATTCATTTTATTTATTTATTAAATCTTTTATGCACAAATACACAAATATAGATGCATATGGCGGACTTAACACCATGAGGTATTATATGTGTAATATATAAACATCCACACCATTCAGGTCTATACACTATGGTTTCTTAGTATTGTGTTGTATCGGTCAGATTTCTTCAAATGGAAACAAATAGAATATACATTATATTATATGTAATTGATGAAACTATAACTTACTGTAATATTAGGATTCTGCGCAGAATTACTTGCTTTACCATTTAATTGTATGGGATAACTAGCATCAGATATATTTTTATATATAAAAGTGGCTTGCTTTGAACTTATATCATGTTCACAACTTGAATTTGATTGTGATATTGACGGAACATCATTAAGAACCTTATGGTTTCTTTTCATTGTAACATGAGTGCCTGTAATCAACATAGTTCTATGATTAAAAGCATTAATCATACATCATTTATAGATTAACTTGATTATCAACTAATCAACCATATGCTTGATTGTATCCATCCACAATCGTAGTATAAAAAAAAAACCTACATGCCAACATACATATTGTGAATTGTAAGTCAAAGAAATAAAGTAAAATAATGACACTGATTACATAAAACAATTTTATTAATTATAATTTCAAACTAAAAAAACTACTTCTACCGTTCAAATGCATTAAATTAGAAACATAGATTCAAATGACAAAATATCTCTTTTTTTTTTTCAAATAAATTGAATCTAGGTTTGTTTCATAGTTGAATAAGAAAACATTCTTTATGGCATTGGTGTATTATATTTCATAAACACATAGAACACATTAATTTATCATCTATTTTACAATCACTATTATAAAATTAATAATCTGTTGTAATAATAATAATCTCTTTAATTAATGATACTTAACATTGTTTATTACCACTTAGCACATTGACCCATCAACTAGTTGTAATATTTTAGTATTAAAATATATTCTACAAAAATAACATTATAGTAGCAATTATTACTTACCAGGTAAATCAGATAAAGGAGTAGTTTCCACTGAACTTTGTAGGGATGTCAAATCACCACTACTAATAGATTTACTGGTTGTAATATTATTTTTTCTCTTGCTGCAAACACAATTCATTGGTTTTTGTGTATTGCACATTTGGCAATTATTATCCAGTTTTGTATTTGTTGTTCCACTTTGTTTGTCTGGCCTATAAGAGAGAGAAATAGAAACACATAACACAATGAGCATCAATATATTCTATCAGTATCTAACATCACATTATTCTGCTAACTGGGTAGGAAAAAGAAACAGTATTGGGTTGGCTTACTTACTAACTTTCAGTTCATATAATTTTATAACCTATCTCATACTTTAGATACCAGTACATGAAACTCCTCCATTAGATAATACAATCTAAGTGATATTGATAATTATTAAACAGTTTCACTACAATTGCATTTATTTTATACCTCTTTCCTGTCCATACTAATTGAGATACTATTACTAACACTACTTCTAAAATATACAATTTAATATTTTTATAGATTGTTCTAAAAACATAAATCATGCTCATAAAATTTTATTATAGAGGCAAGTAATTCCTTCTTTTAATTGATTAAATTTAGTATTACAATATCACATTATTATACAATGTAAATACAAAAGACTACACACTAGGCTAAACCTTTATTTACAGAAGATATTCAAAGGCTTTTTATCAAATTTATGTAACAATCTGATGACTAATTACTAAGTAATAATTATGTATATTAATTCATGTAATGTAATGTGATTATGATAATTATGTGAACTTTTTAGAAATGTGTCTCACACCATTACATAGGTAATAAAATATACATTTCTACTTACCCTGTTCTATCTATTGTGCTATCATGTATTTGAATTTTATGAACATCTATATTATTAATAAGAAACTTGACAATATCCAGTAGATTAGTAAATTGGAATAGTTTTTTCCTCAAAAGAAGTGGTTTGCAGGTTTCAACTAGAAAAAACAATTAACTATGAGTATTTATAAAAAAAAAATGTCTTACAATTTGAATAATAGAGAATAAATAGGAAATATATAGGAGTTTATAAATCTAAAAGAGCAAATATATATTGCTTACCACATATCTTTACAGCCCTATATTCAGCTAAAATGTTTTTGAGTGATGTCATAAATATTCTGTCATATTCATTCCTCAATGCATCTAAGTACGGACTGGCTTGGAGGAATTCATCATAAGCTGTCATGAGTTGCTCCTCTGCAAGATACCCTAAAAACAAAACCCATGCCTCTTACCATTCGGAATGCTATAGACAATGTATATGATTCCCGCCAAAGCCAAAAATAAAAGCTTACCAAGAACAAGTTTGGCCAAATCTTGCGAAGGAAACTGTGGTAATATTGATGCAGACATAATGTAATCCTTGTGTAGAATTACTATTTTTGTTTACACCTCATTTAGCACAGAAAAATAAACTAAGAATAACACAAACATTGAATAACCAAGAAAGCGAAGATAGCAAACGTAGGGTAACGTAAAATGAGGAATATAAATAAATAATACAGAGAAACACAATATATTACAGAGTACACAAAGAAACAAAACTAATGTAATGTCACTTAGACATCCAGTATTTTTAACCTGTACCATATTGAATCATTAGAGTATACAGATACTAAAAAATACTTCAAAAACTTTTACACCCCTTACCGAGGATATACCTATGTCTTTGTGTTAAATATATATATATATATATATATATATATATATATTTTAAATTGTCTCTTTGGAAGATTTGTGGAGAGAATAAAATGAAAGTTAAAAAACAGGACCAAACGATATAAAAACCGTAAATCTCTCAAATATCAAAATATACAAAAAAAACTGTTTTACGACCCTCTCTAGGTTGTTCTGTCTGCCTCTTTAAGTTCAAAATTAAATAAGTTTAAAACTGAAAACAAAAATGAAAATTGAACAAAATTTGGTGCAAAGCCACAATTATCTGGCAACATTGGTGGATAGTTAAATTAGTGACCCCATTGGAAAATTTCCCTAAATGTATGGAGATTTTGGAGCGATCGTGACAAATCTCTACGTACGATACGATACGTCACACTCTCTCCATACGACACATTTGTCAAATATGTGTCGTATGAAGTATTACGTAGAGATTTGTCACGATTAGCCCCCTTAATATCCCAAACTTTAATATTTCTCACCATAAAACCCCAATACATTTGTTCCCCCAATGTTCTCAAAAATCATAAATTTGTTCTATAATTATAATAATAATTTTCATACTTTAATATATAGTGTAAATAATTGAAATGAATAATATGTGGTCCTTTTTCGTCAATGTTTTCTATAACTTAAGATCAATGTTTTTGTTATTGAAATCAGTGGTGAGCAAAAAGTAAATATACCTACCATGTGTTGAGTTACTTTACCTCACAACAAAACAGAGAAGGTTCTGTGGAATTATCAGCTATATAGTAACATTATGTGGTTGACGTCGTTGACGTTGTTGTTTGTTGGTAACACTGTGTTCATCGCCATCTTAAATTTTATTCAATAAATTTCGTCTTTTACGTTTATTTTGATTTCGAGTCCCACCGTATTTTATAACAGTTAATATTTCGAAGTCTTATTGCAATGAGTACCACTATTTCAACACCGTTGTTTGCTTGTTCTCGTTGTTTCTCTAGACATCCTTTTGAGGAGTTGTCTCCTGGGGAACAACTTTGTAAGGTAAATGACACAGTATTTGAGGAAAAATCACTACAATATGTTTTTGTTATTAAAGTTTATATTTCATAATTCATTTTGTAGTAATAATAATACTGAAACAGAATTTTAGTATATCAAATGATATGCAAGATTAAAAACTATGCGTCATGCAGTACTGTTAATTTGACGTGTAAATGACGCTTCTAATGTTTGGTGATATTCCAGGAATGTCGCGGTTCATTCCCCGTTGTCAAGTGTACATATTGTCGCTCGGAGTTTCAACAAACAAGGTCAGTGTTAGCACTGTTAGCTGCCAAGAGGCAACAACATTACACAAGTGACGTGATTATATTATTTCCTCGTAGTATACACATCTTCTCATATGTATTTCTTCTTCGTTCTTGCACATAATAGTTCACATGTCTACTGTAATTTAGTTCATTCTTTTACTTAGCTTCCTACCAACTCAGAGAAAGTATAAATCAAGTAGGATGGCCAATCTCTGTGCCATTATTAATTCTAGATTTTATTCTTAGGCTGCATATATTTTGTCCATTTTTACTTAAGTATACGAACTACATTATATTGGAATCTAATTTAATTAGCAGACAAATGTGTTTTCTTTTTTTTTTAAGCAGGAAATTTATCATATTTTGTTAAACGAAATACTTAAATGAGTGAAAAATCTGCCAACTATGTGGTTCATACCTGGATAGCTATACATGGGCATGTCATGGTTATCTGATACTTAAATAGGTCAACTGTACAATGTTGACTAGTGTTAGCAAATTCAAAAAGATGTAAATATAGGCCCACACAGACACCCATTTATGAATAGATTGGGAAGTTCAATATAATACATATTGAACTAGCCAATCCAATGCAAAAGAAATGTATGAATTTAAAAGAAATTTATTTCAATATGTTATTTAGTACCCATAAGAGAAGCTCAGCTTACCTCGAGACTAAGGTGATATATAAATTATCCAGGGTTATTGTTATGTTGAGCAAGAGCTTGAGTGTTAGTTGCTAAAAAATATATGAAGTTGCAGAAACGAGGCTGTATTATGTGATATAAAAAAAATCTGTGATGAGTAATTTAAGAGAAAACCAAGGGTCTCCAAAAACCAGACAGATGCTAAGCAGTATGGATAAAGAATTATCACCATATCTCAATTCAGTATAGTGAATAATATAGTAGTAGATGAAATTAATATAGCCATGATTATGTCAACCTAATGTATTCATTTGTAATTAATTTAATAAACTTAACTAAATTAAAAATTAATTAACCCATAATTTGTAAAAAAATCTAGAATAATGCCACCACTGTATTGAAAGGACACCATAAAAATGAAATATAAATACCAACCATTATGAGAAGGCACATATGGCAGAAGGCGATGTGGTTGAACAACAATATTTCTGACATGAACTGAATGATCATTTGAACTATACTTTCTTTTATGTACTACATTTTGATTCTTGTAGTGGTAATTGGTATATTCAGAGATTTTGTATAAAGAAATGTAAAATAGCCTGTTGAATTACAGAAGTAACTTATTTTTCAATTATTGTCTATGTATCCTTATTTTGTATTGTCTTCAGTATTATTTTAAAATACTAAAATAACTTGCAAATGTGGATTCTGAATTAGACGTCAATATTACAATGAATCTTTAAGATCATTATAATATTTGTGACTAGTTGTGGCCACAAATATATACCCATATACAACTGTGGATTACAATCTATTGATGGTGATCAACAATAAAATAAGCATCTATGTAATGTTATCTATTACTTTGATTAATTAATTAAATTGCAGATAGTGTATTGAAACTTCTCTCTCAATCTCAATATTCATTATTTTTCACACACAGTATTATGTTTCACATTAAAATAGCTTTGGATAATAAAAATAATAATGACTAATGACAAGGAATTATTTATACTATAAATAATTGTTTCATTACAGCAAATCAAATACATCTTCTATTTGCAAGAAGTGTGAGGCTAATGTGAAAGCATATGGGAAACCCACTGCTTGTGAATATTGCAATATTATTGCTGCCTTTATTGGTAAGTATCATATAGTTTACATTGATATCATAATACTTGATGAAAGGATTATTGAAGTTGAAAGACACACACACACACAGTAGGATGGATCTTATGTATTTTGATCCTAACATATTGCTACTCTTGCTTATACTAGTTATTATGACCATATACCTATACTCAATACTACCTGAACTATGTGACATTAGATAAAGTGATCTTACACTTTTATCTAACATACTAGCATGCTATTATTTGTTTATGATGTAATGAAATTGCTATATCACACCTCCCCTGACACTTTCAGGGGAGGTGTGTGTCTTTATGAGAATGTACCCTCCCTATTACTTTACATGAAAATTTATAAATATGTATAATTATAATAATAAAATATAACAATAGACAAGTTTTTTTTTGTAATTTATAATTTTAATTAATCTAAGTAAGGCATTGTGTTATTAGATTATGAGATGTAAGAATGTCAATAAAGTGTACTTGGGCTCACCTCAATTAAATTTATAGGTAATAAATGCCAGCGATGCACTAACTCTGAACGGAAGTATGGCTCCGCTGTTACATGTGAACAATGCAAACAGCGATGCGCCTTTGATCGGCATGACGACACAAAAAAGGTATGCAAATTAAATTCTCTCTAAATAGCATCATAGCAAAATCAGTCTGTTTCTCCACTAAATTCTCAATCATGCAACGGATTTCTAATATGGCCTGTCATTTAAATATATTTTGTGAGTAAGAACCTACAATGCATTCTGATTAAGAATTTAGTCTTGATAATAAAGAGCACAATTTCTTTAAAGATTTTTAAATTTTAAGTTCTTAGATTATTTTTATAGAGTGTATTTGTGTCATAGAAAAATCTTGTATTCATGGTACATTTTTATGCTCTTTATTGCACCAATTACAGAACAAAAGAACAATTAAAATAGAAACTATACATTGACTGATCATCTGTTAAAGCTAAAGCAGCTGTCTCCTTTCCAGGTTGATGGAAAGCTTCTATGTTGGCTGTGCACCCAATCGTTGAAAAGAGCACTGGCAAGAACTAAACAGCATTTGTCATCAGTTGATAAACACAAGCACAGAACACACAAGTAAGTGGATACAATATTAATGCATAAATTTCTATATGGTTTTATAAATATTGTGTTATATATAGGTATTTGAAAACGCCACTTGACTTACAGGAAAGTAACTTACCGATACCAATATGTTTTCGTAACAAACATGCACATAAAATTTCGTTCAAATTGGTCCAGCCATTTCATAGAAGTGGTGACAAAAATCCATAGAAAGAATTATATATATTAAGAACATTTCGTAATAATCATGTAAAATCTTGTCTTGTTTTATAGGTCTAAAAACAATCATAAAGAAAAACGCAAGTCTGACATGATGAAGTCAATGAATGCAAGTGATTCATCACACAATGATTCACACCCACTTGAAAAGAAATTGAAATCGAATCCGCTGCAAGGTAAACGTGAGTTTGTATGAGTTTTTTATTTTAACTAATATTGTATTAATTAAATAAGATCATAATTGAAAGGGAATTTAATTTTAAGGGTCATGGCATGGCATTTTTAGAAAAAATATACTCTGGAAGGAAGTTTTATATGATCGCATGTTTTTATATAATATAGGTATAGTCATTGGCACGAATCGGAAACTTACTTTTTCGAAAAACTGCAACGGCGTTACTAACATGTCGATGCATACATCCTGCAGTGACAATCAGAGAATACAATTTCAGGAGTTCCTTTGCAAAGATTATTAAAATTCGTTGCGTGCGAAGCGGAACAATGGATATTAGGCATTTTGAAATAAGGTGAAACTACGAATTTAAAAAAATTGTAGTTAAGTACCATCTCGATCACGTCACCTTCTAATAAAAAAAATCATCAAAATCGGTTAATTACTTTAGAAACTACGAAGCCACAGACACACCACACAGATTGCAGCCTTCTTTTTTAATGACCAGGGTTAATGGGTGTACATATTAAGATCTTGCATTGGTGTTATGTATGGATATTTTTAACTATTTCCAATTCAATAAAAATAGATATTATGCAAAGATTATTTGATAATTGGAAATACTTGTCCTAATTGATTTATAATAAATTGTAAAATTATATTTACAGGTGAACTTGATCCAAACAGTTCTGATCATGTTGTTGCCATGACTCAGCTCAAGGAAACTATTGCCAGTTTACAGAAAAAGGTGCAACAAAAAGACAACGAGCTGCTTGCCAAAGACAAACTGGTTAGTTCCTATTAAACTTTATTGCTTAAGAATATATGAACTATTAGATATCTTATTAAATGTTGAATATGGAATGGTGAATATCGCCTGCACTATTGGTATCCTTTTGCGGCAGTTGAGGATGATAGGATAAGCATGAAGTAGAGTCAGTTTGCTCATCATGACAATTGTATGTGGAATAACAAGAATTGTTTAAAGAAGGGATCACATGATGGTCAACATCACATTGTCCTAGAACTAGTTCTTCATGGGGAGAAAAAAACATAATAGTAATGTGGTGAAATTACCCCATTACATACATATGCCATATCCAGTTGACCTCCATGTGGTTCCTCCTGGAAACTATTGTGATCAATTCTTCTAAATTTGCTACAATGGGCTAACCGATCTGACCTGACATGTTCACCTTATCATTCTCCAACGAATCTGGAGCCTCGTCAGTCAAAACCAATGTCGCAGGCTGGTGTCCATTATTCCCTAACAATGCCATCCCACATGTATATTTAAAGGAATTTAGGTTTGCTAGTGAAATATGTAATATATAGCCTTAGCATTAGTTCTACAGGTTACCTTATACATACATAGCAACTAATAAAAATCGCACTCTATAGAGAGTATGTTAATGTAGCGGTCACCTCGATGGTCTAGCACACCGGCTTAATTCCAATGTTTGTGGCATATATATATAGTTGTTTAATATTTATAGCACAAGCTCTACTTAATACTGGACTAGTCAATTTCTTCTATTACTAATCAAGATTATTTGATAACAGTTGTCAATATGGAGAAAAATATCTTTGTAACTCAATATTCATTTATAATATTGAATCAATTTTGCTATTCTAAATAATACTGTAATAAGTCTCTCGAAAACCATATTTTTGTATTGGTCTAAATATTTATGTCGTTTGAATAGGAAGTAATGAATATTTCATTATTGATTGTATGTAACAACCTTCTAAAATGAAAATAAACACTTTTTCTATTATTATTCACAGATCACAGAATTGAAGGCCCAACATCACAATAACACAACGGACCTTCGAACAGAAATGAAAAATAAGGAACGTTTAAATGAAACCAAATTTAACCTTATGAATACCAAGATACAAAACCTTCTAAAGGAAGTCGCAACTCTTAGCAAGTCTGCCAAGAAAAATAACAAAAACACCAAGGCAATACTGGTTACCACAGAGAACAGCGGCAGTGGTACCGATAGCCCCAGTACCAATTAGAACAATTCCTCTTTAACTTAGACATATTATTTTTTAGTAATGTTACATACAAAACTGGAAAATATTTTCCTCTTATTTTTTTACTCTACAAATGATTTTATTTGTAGACTTTTTTTATAAAACTAAGTGTAAGTAGGTTTCAATTTGTCAACAATTTAATTTTTAATTTATTGCAATTAGATGGAAAGTGATTTGTACCAATATTTTAATTAAAGAATGAAAATAATTTATTCATTGTACAGAAAATAATAAAAAAAAACGTGTGTATAAAATTGATGCGGGTTAACAGGTATTAGTTAAGCGAATCAAATCTGAGATGTAAGTGTGTTATGTCTGAGATTATTTTTTTTGTATACAATTTTTATTGATTTCACGTGAAATTAAATTTAGAGTAAACCATATTATCATCAAAATCAAAATCATATTAGAAACAGTTTATGACTTCACTTATCAATGAAAGTAATCAAGATATTTTTTAATGTGTGAAGTTCTCAGTATAAAAAATATCTAATAACACTGCGCCTATTGAACTATTTAGATCTCTTACTGTATAAGATAACTTTTATTTTCCAACTATACATATGGTTAAAAAAATCGTGAATTTTCATAATTATTGTTATTAAATGAATATGTTTAGTAATAAATCGTGTAAATGCACAAATTGTAATTTCCAAAGAGATTAGGCTTGGATGTATTTTATTTTCAGTAACTATCTACCTATAACTTGTCATCATTTGTTTGTATTGTCTGAAATCTGAAAAATACCATTTGGGATCAATTTGCTTTCACCAATTGAGCCCAATTGGTATACGCCAAATGGTATTTTATCTACCAATTACAGTGTTGGTGCATATATTTAAATGTATCACTATTTTGTAACGATTAAGGACTAGTTACTTACTTTATTCATTTGAAAGTTTTTGTTCCGTCTTGAAAATTAATGTCATATCAAGTTTTTACATACTTAAGTGTTTTAAGCAGAATGTGTAATAAAACTACACAAATAGCTGTTACTCCACAGCATAGAGCATTGCATTCCCGGTAAATGTTGAATTAATATTTATTACGCATGGTCACTAGTTTATAAGCAAAAATGTAGATGAATCAAATATAAAATATTTAAACATTTGGAATTTGTAACGTTTTCTGTTGACTGACAAAAATAAATCTGACTTTTATATATAAATAAACAAAGTGTTTTTGATGGATATGCGGTGTAAGATATGATCAACTAATGTGGTTTCTATTTGACTAATATTTTTATAAACTTCCTAATGTCCTGCATACTGCTATTCATGACAATATCTTTTGTAATGTGTGGTTATTGAGTGATATATTTCTACTAATAATCCATAAGAGAAGTTGAACGGTGGTTTCGCAGAACAAATGTAGGTACCATTGGATTGTTAAGCACGAATAATATCCGTTACTTTACGGCCCCTGTAAACTTGTGATAGATTTGTTATAAATTACCACGACAATATAATATAACTATTTTCATGCAATCGGTAATCGATAGTAGTTCTGAAATCACTAAATACTTGTGCAGACAAAACTTCACGTCTGCGACGGATAACGCATTTCATTCACCACTAACTTTCAAGGACCCATTTGCTTATAAAGCAATGCAATCATGTTATTTTATTACACAAAAATATTTCCAGCTTGCTGATAATTTATTTTAAATAATCTGTCCATTTACATGTGATCGAAATAAATAGTGCACCATTTTGTTTCATTATTGTCTTCCGGACATTAAGCTTAAGACATGCCAAACATGTCACTACATATGCCTCCAGACGTTACATCCTCCAAAAAAAAAATAAGATTTCTCAAGAATGCTGAAGACGTTCTGTCTCCATATTCCCAAACACGTGCACATTCAAGGCAATTTTGCAGATTCGCCACATTGTGTACAACGGTCATAGGTTTATGCAAAAATCAGGAACCGACAAATACAAGGTATTTTTGTCATACTAGGTATTATTTCGGTGTATCATGGGAATTGTATAAAATATTACATTAGGCTTACAAGTGTACTTGTTGTCAGAATATGCAGAACCATTTTTTATTTTGTAACATGATGAAAAAATTCGTATATTATAAAGTTTATTGAAATATCTTGAAACATTATTTTCTAGTCTAATTAATCGTGGGCTAAAAATTCGACCTAGAAAAAGTTGACGAAATAAAGATATTAAAAGTAATCGATTACATTATTTTATTTAATTATCATTTCTTTCGTTAGTTTAATTTCACAAAAATAATATTTATTACTAGCACTAATTTACCCCTAATTTAGTGATATCTGCATTGATATAAATGGAGACTGCCAATTATAGGAACCCTTATAACTACTACATAAAAAATACTGTATCGTATATAGTCCGTTTTTTTTATTTCGGAGACTAAATATAAGATAGGTGTAAATGTATTTTTTTTTATATAATGTAGATGTAGCAGTAGCTGTGCCTGCGATACCGATTTGTTAAATCGTATTTTTTTTATTTAGACGATAACTTTTATACGAAAGTTCCACATAATTTCAAAATTTATGTATGTACTAGTGTTTCTATTACAGACTGTTTATTAATTTTGAAAGAGTTTTATAAAATATGACGTTTTATGAAATATGAGGGCCATACGAAAGTCATATCTTTTATAAAAAAACAAGCTTGTTTTAGTGAAATATTTTTCAATTAAACAAAAATCAATTTTGATGCAACAACCCTATATATATTAATAGTACCCATACTAATTTTGGGTTAAATGTGATTTAACTAAACACCAACACATTATTTCTGAAAAAAACTTAAGAATCGGTAATTAATAGTAATTTCTGATAATTCCACATTCCAAAAACCTGGCAACATACATAGGTAATGGTTTCTGAGATGAAAAACAGTATATAAAGTATAAATAATAATATGCAAGTACCTGCCTAACGGTTAAGTCAATTATTGAATCTCTATTATCTTCAATTAGTGTATATCTATAAAGTAATACGTTAGTCATCCCAAAAATTTTTTTGATTAATTTCTCTAACGTTAATTTCTCTAAGTTCATAATCATTTTTACTTTTATCTGTTGGACACTATATTTCATACCATTCTTCTGTACATTGGTTTAGAGAATAATGCTTTATATTCGATTCAATTCTTTCTCCTAATAACTACAATGACCTACATATATCTATGTACTCTACGTATATTAATGTGAAAGGAAAACCGTTATTAATCCGTCTACCTTTGAAAATATTTTATGATACAGCCTTTAAAAGCTGTATGTACAATTATTCATTCAAATTATATTTAATATAATATTTTGATTTATTCATACCGCTACCAATGTACTTATTTCTGTGCCACCAATGTACTTATTTCTATGCCAATGCCCCAGTTGAAAGTGATAATACTAATGAGTATTATATGAATCATGCCAATGTTCTAAATATTGTACAATTAATTTACTTCCTTAGGAAATTTTGACAAGAAGTTAGCAAGAACTAAACTATAAAGAGTAATGGAATATACCTACTCGATATAAGGAAAGTGGTCAGGCTGTATATTGTCAAAGTAATTTGGGGTAATATTCACGAACAGACGTTTTGAATGAGAATTTGGTTTTATATCTTCTGAGATGAACAGAAAGTGCATTCCATCTATTTATTATATATACATATGTATATATAAAGTATTTAAGTACACCATTTTATAGCCTTCCTATACTGGGGCAAATGTACCTACTGGTAAGGTACATACATATGTAATTGAAAACGCACTCGGTTTGAACGGATACGGGTTCAAATCCCGTCGAAAGACTAAAAATAAAATATTGTATTTACAGAACAGACATTTGAACCCGTTTGAGTAATTGTAGTCTATTTTATACTTCTGGATTTACCACGTTTGATAGCCGTTCACTAAATTTCCTTCCTTCCTCTATAGAAACGTCATTTATGAATGAACAATATAATTATTATATACATATTCTTTACACAAAAATAAAAAAGGCGATGCAATAGCATTGTCTTTTTGTTTTTCTGTTATAATATAAATTAGACACCAAACCTCAAATACCCAAATGCTTACAAAACAGAATTTGAACTTTAGTTACTGTGTTTGTATAGAAGATTATAAGTACTTGATGTATTTATACCTAATTTTAACTTTGATCATACCACACATCGAGATATACGGGTATAGAATTTTTACGCTTTATATTAACTATAATTATTTTGCAAGATAATATTTATAACGCCCCCGTTACTTTTGGTAAAACAACCCAGTTAGGTGCGGTGACTGTAAAGTTATAAGCAATCGTGAAAATAGTTAAAGGTTCAATACACTCAAATATTCTCTACTAATTTACCTGACTTTTGACCTCCATGGTGTACGGCCGGTGTAAAACTTATGCATTCGTTCTTAGTAATATCACAGATAAGTTGTACCTACATGTATTACTCCCACATTAAAGAAATGTTCATTTACGGCGTTGTGCGTGTGAGCAGCAGCATTAGAGTAACGCGAAAAGTAATCAGGTGAAACAATAAGTAGTTCCTATGTAGGTATTATTTACACTTAAACAATACCTACTAAATACTTAGAAAATAGGTTAAGCAATGACTAACGTGACCATACGTCACACTTTCAGGCTGCCTGTCTTGCTGTCCTCAGCCCGACTAAATATGGTCCACATTTGTAAAGAGACTTCGAGAAGTGTATAAGGTAAAAAGCAGACTAAAAAAACTAAAACAAGAGCGGTTCTCTAAAAAAACACAAGAAACATTAATATATTGTTATTGTGCTCTTGTTTTCTCTTTAGGCGTCCCACTTAGACAAGAAAAGAAATGGTCGCGGTAGACATGACAGTACTTATTGTTTTTTAGGTGCCGAATAGTAAAATATACTCTCTTCATTTCTATTTGCCTAAAGGTTGATTGCCGCTCTATTACTTACCTATAAAATTCCAAATAAACTTTCTAAATAATTATAAATGTATACCATATTCAGTATTTGCCACTGACGAGCGTACAATGATTTCTTATTGTATTACCTACGCCAATATGAAGATGCCTACTCTTTAAATTGTTTTACATAGGAAACTTCCTCACGATTTTACTATTTACTTTTTACCTAGCCCGATTTTTATTTTTAGCTTTTATTAACGTGGATATTTATTACAGGAACAGTATAGGACACGTACAGATCAGTATAAGAAATAAATACCTATACATATAGGTAGTGATGTGACTATATCATCTAAGTTTATGGCAATTCCATCGAAGGGGGTTCTCCCTGTATCTGAAATCACCTTGTAATTTTTAGTAAACTATGTAATTAATTAATGTTAAATTCTTCCTTTACTTACGGCACATCAAATCAAGGGTTCACTTCGGACTGAAAAGCCGTCTGAACTACTTGTAAGGCAAGGTTGTTATACATACATAACATACGATTAATTTCCTTGTTTTTATTTAGAAACATCTGGTACGTGGTATTAAAGCATCTACTCAATATCAACGAAATACCTACCTACGTAATGTTATACTACACACTTTGATCTTAGCCAAAAGGCCGAGAACCGATAGTTTTAATAAAGTGTCAATTCACTACGGTAACAAACACATTAAGAATATTTATCATTTTTAAAGTAAAAGTAAGGTTTCTGTTTATATTCTAGCACAGCAATATAAACATATAAAAACCATTAAGAAAATATATAGGTAATCTTAATAATGTGACACATACAATAACATCTATGGGTAGGCTGGTATATCAATTATTCAATACCTATCCCTTATATACGGTGATATTGGGTACTTCTATGAATTTCTATTTATTATATATACAACAATATAATCTAAATAAAAATGTAAGTAGCTAAGTACTCGCTTAGTCAGCTTTCTGCCTACTGTGGTTATACTATATGTAATTTCGAATGAACAGCTTATATAAATATCACTATTACTATAGAGTCAACACAGTTACACTCTTCGATCCCACCAGTTCGTTGGATCGTTGTCCGCAGTCTCTAATTAGTGACCAATCGACCAGTCAACATTTGAAACAATGGCAATACGTGCAGTCTTTCTTTTGGCATTGTTCAGCTGTACACAATGCAAAAGTAAGTTTATTAAATTTTTCACTTTTTGCTCAGTCTAGTAATTATACAATTCATTATTTAGTATAAAGAATGAATAAAAAAATTCCAACATCATGTGCCTGGTGAACACCACATGATTAGTTATGTTTAAAAATTAAAATATGTATTTTTAAAAATTTGGTTTCTCAATTAACTTATAGGGGGAGATTAACAAGAAAATTTACTTTAGTTTTAGATTTAACATGTAAGCAAATACGGGAAATTGTCGACGGACACAATTTGCGCAGATGGGCACTGGCGAAGGGCGAAGTGTCAGGCCAACCTGCTGCTTCTAGTATGAATTATATGGTACGTAAAAACCTTACCTTACCCTTCTATACATATTGACGTCCTAAACTTTTTCATCTGATTTAATTAATATTCATATTCTCTTCCCCGCATGTAGCGGGGTAGAAATAAGAAAAGTGGTTATTCATGTAGGACATTGCACATTTAAGGAGTTCATCAGTATATTTCAAAACTCATTGTAACTTTATTACGCACAGTTATCGACTTAGTTGCTGATGTTTTTATAGCGAAACTATAACAATAATATGCCCTTACGACTGTAATACCAGAAGAATCAGTCAGAAGCATTATCGACTGTTATCGTGATGAACTCAACACTTGGCATGTCCACATTTCGCTGAGAATATTTGAAAGTAACTTCCAAATTAAGTTGTTTTAATATCGATGTTTCCATCACCAGAGAATTAGAACTATAAATATTAACGTAAAGTGATTGGCTCCCCGTAGTGTAACGAAAAATTTGAATTATTTACAGTTCGTTAACATTACATTAAATGGAAAAACGTTTCCAATTAGCAAAGTTTAAAAAAAATTATTACTATTTGTCTTACTACCCATACTTTTACCCATTTTTACGCATTTTATTATTATATACATCGAAAATGTGTCCGTACGTTTGCTTGTTACCTTTACACAGCTAAATAGCGGAACAGATCTTAATGACATTCTATATGAAGATTTCGTCATGAAGTTGAACATAGCCTATATTTTAAGTCTAAATTGTTTTTACGGTCTTGGTGGTGTAGCGGTTTAGCACACTGTCTTACTGCACATGACCGCAGGTTCAATTTCGCGCATGGTACAAACGTTTGTATTCATGAGTATTGTTTGTATTGGCGTTTTTTATGTATATTATATATGTATTTAAAAAAATATATGTTTAAGTATTTTACCAGTTGTCTGGTACACTTAACACAAGTATTATTTAGTTTGGAACTAGATGGCACTTTGTGAATCGTCCAGGGATATATTAAAAATAAATGTATCGATGTCTACCGATCACGGATATCGATAACTGGTAAAATATTAATGGTACATGGCCAATTATTTCATTACACTTGTTATTTAAATAAGTTGGTATACAAGTATACTATATATACTTATATCTAGGTGTGATTGGCTTCCACTAGGTTTGGGATGACGAGCTAGCAGCGAAAGCGTCTAAATGGGCGTCACGTAATGAATTTAAACATAATCCAGACAGCACAATCGGTAAGTATATTTATTTATTACAATTTTAATAACTAAATCATTTATCATTAGTCGTAAAAAGTGTATCATGTCGAAAGTCAGCCGTATGCATGAGGTTGAACTTTCTCCAAGAAGAAATATGTATTTGATAATACTATTTAAAACCTTCGTGAAACCTGCACATATCTACGTGATTATATTATGACAAAAATCATATTAATTGCTTATTATTGCTTGGAAAAAGTGAATGAATGAATAATCTTTATTGTTCACATCACAGATAAAAAAAAAACAGTTCCATACAATAAAATAACAATGGACGGCCTTTTAGTTCTAAAGGGCTTCACTATTTTACTTGGATTTTGACTTCCTATGTATTTTACAACTAATCCTGTACGAGTATAATAAACAAGTCATATGTGTACATATGACATAATGCGCCGACTGAATAATAGGATAAAGGGAAGGCAATGATGATGATGTATATATGAAATATATTTTCATAGAAGGATTTATACATGCAATTAGTTAATTTAATATTTATTATTATATATTATAGATACAGAACATACCCCTTACTTACTTATTTAGATATAAGAAATAGATTGATGAAATATTTTATACCTATTTGTTTTTTAAAACTGTTTTAGTGTAATTAGGGCATTGTTTCTAACATTTGTTCGTTTAAAATAATAGAAGTCGATGTATGAGTATATAGGTAGGTTCATCTAATAACTATTATCACAGGTGGGGTAGTCATTGTCAATTAACAAAGACATGGTGAAAGCAAGGTGAGAGTGAGTGAGTAATATGAATTGACACACAAAGTTCTTTGTTATTGGATTGGATAATCCAGTAAATATATAAATATAGGTAGCTTTTGGCAAGACATGGCCGCGGGTAAAAACTAGTTTTATTATAAAGTATAAACTTTTACTGGTTATAGAACTTGATGATTAAGCGTGGCGGAATGCCTATATAAAATGCAGGTTGCATATAAAATTACTCATAGCATACAGTAAATTCTTCACCTGTCGTTAATATTTTTAGGGTTCCGTAAATAAATGTGTGTATTCACATTTGTTTCTAAATATTGATATAATAATAGGCCGTGATTGTTATTTCTAGTGTATCGTAGTGTAAATACTGCTGTTTCAGGAAAACGTTTGGCTGGTGTAGATTTGATACAATTTTTGAAAATTTGATTATTTAATTTTTTTTTCTCCCTTAAATGTAAATATATTTTTATTGCTTAGTAAATTCCTGAGTTTCATTGAGGAAAATTTGAATAGTCCTCAAATAAATTATTTTTTTTCTTAGCTATCTATTCACAATAATAAATAATATATCCATACATTTTATTAATGATTTAACTAATATTATTTATAATTATTGTATTTACGCGTTGAAAATATTCATATATATATATTTATACATATATTTTTTTAAAAGGCTACAACCACTAGTTTAGTACAAAAATACACGTATCGATGTTGTTAAAAGAAACTCCTTACAACATTCATTTTATGCGTCTGTATTACTATGACAAATTTGCGCGCTATCTATTTTCTTGTTGCACACCACTGCAACAAGAAAATAGTTATAGACACCAGTTCATTGTATATACGAGCTAATAAAATGTATAAGTACATAGTAGCTAGGTTTATTTGTTTGATATTTTAAAATAACCGCAAGAACCCACAGGGGCTGAAATACTCACTATATAGTGATTATATTTTTTACACTTTACGGCATAACTGTAATAAAAATAGATAGGTAGATACAAACAGATAAATATGTAACAATAGATAAGTAGGTATGTATATGTGAATGCGGAAAACATTTTAATAAATAAAATTATTGTAGTAATGGTGATGATGGTAATTTTAGGATTAAATTAATAAATATATTAAATGGTAAAAAACAAAATAGCAATCATTCCATATCTAAATATTTAAATCCAATTCTTTTGTTTTAATGAATGACAAATGGAATAGTACCTGCTCTAATGGTATGTATGCGCTGGCGGAGTGATGCCCTACCAGCGTATACCGATTGGCGTGCCTCATAAGCTGCCGCCTCACCTGACGTTATGGAATAACCGTCGCTTATATAAATCAACAGCTCTACGGACATCACATTTACATGTGACACCTGTGATAACACTCATGCGTTGTCTTGTCTCTTATCCTATAATATCTCTATTGTAACCTACAGCTGAAACACAGCTTATCTACAAAGCTAGCACCTCAGTTCAGGTACCCACACAGAAAATTTTCCAGTCTACCTCTGTTAAAAAATATCTATATTACCAAATAAAAATTATAATGTCAATTTATTGCAGGTACTGGCAGATTTGAGACTGGCGAGAACATATATATGTTTTCTACAACAGGTCGCAATCTGAAGTTGAATATAACGGACTTCCTGGACTCTTGGTTCAATGAATACAAATATTACACCTATGGATCTCTGTCCGATGCCGATTTCGAAACGCCTGATGAAAAACAAATAGGGCATTATACACAGGTTCGTTTACAATTCTAATTAGTTGATGTTGTAAACAAGATATAAAATTTCATATAATAATGGCTCTAAGTGATTATTAACCCTGACAAAAAAGAAGGGTGTTATAATTTACTTGTCAATCTGTAGTCAAAGATTCCAAACGGAGGAACCAGTTAAAATATTTTTGTTTGTTCGAGAACTGGCATGAAGACATTATAAACTGATTTTCTAGTTGGTGAAGGGATTTCATAAATTTTTGGTAGATGGAAACTAAAGAAATTATTGCATTATATAGAAATATTAATGAACGTTCCATTATTAACTGCTATCTTATAATAAGAAATGTTTTCGGTAATGTACTTACAGATGGCTTGGTCCAATTCCACTCACGTCGGGTGCGGGGTGTCACAGTTCGCCGGCGGTAAATGGAATAGTCAACTCATTGTTTGCAATTATGGACCAGCGTAAGTTGAAAGCAATACCATCTTTAATATTATTGTCACCTATTCTTTTAAGAATAGAATATATATTAATAATTATATCTTCATGACTATTATCTCAGAGCCAACAACATATGTGTAGACCTGGTACTTGTGGTGAACGCAACTCTTGCCATGCCCACATTCGCTGAGTATACTTGAAATCAAAGGTGGTTGGGGGCGAGCAGATTAGTTTGGCTTGTTATTGGTGTTTCAATCACTCGTAAATGTTAATTGTCATAAAGAGTTTTTTTTGTGTCAACCACGTTCGAACTCACGAAATGCTATGACGCTCACAATAGAAACAGAAAAAATATTTTCTTGTACGTTTTTACACTACATAGGTACTTTAGTAATCATAAGAAAAATTATACAAAATACTAAAATAATAAAACAGATACCATTACGGTACACGTCATGACTTGTACCAAAGTTTAGTTTAGTTCCTTGTAAAGTACATTCATGAATGTTGTTTCTGATTAAATTATTGCCATTCGCGCGTGCGAATGCTATTTGAGATTTACACTGTTTCCATTACATCTAGGTAGCTGCATAGAGATTACAAAAAAACATTTTTGGTTAGTGTATAATCCATATCCATGATACCATGGTTTTAAGTCCTATTTCATGGTCTTTCGTGCACAAAATTCACTCTATCGCTTTCTAAAACTTACTAATAGCGTTGAAGGTCTAGTGAACTTGTGAACGATACGGTTTTATCCATTTTTTGCCTATTTTACTGAAACTAAAAAATCTTCATTGTTTTATTTGAAATATATTTTTATTTTCAGGGGCAATGTAATTGGAGCATCGCCTTATAAGAGTGGGACACCTAGTAAATCACTTATATGCGCCATTGGTAACTGCAAATCTCCATACGGTGATAAGTGTTAAACAAACCAAAGATATTATATTTGTGTCAGAATATGCGAGGTACTTGGGATGCTGCAGTCAACGGCAGTGACAACAAAAAGACTTAAATAAAAGTATAATATAGTAATAGAACAGTCTTTTATATATAAGAAAAAACAAAATTTATATATACATATAAATTTTACTGCGCTAGCCAGCGGACGAAATCCAGAGTCCTGAACAGATTATTTTATTGTTAGTTTAGCCACAAGCGTACATTTCATAGTACGTATGTTATCAACGTCTGAAATAGCCGTCTTTTCAAAAATAGATCCCCTGATATCAAAGATTTATTTATGTTTTGTACGTAGGGCCACTCATACATGGATATGTATGAGTCGCCCTACATTTTACGTAACATGTACCTACGTAATTTTATTATATTGTAAATATTTACAAAGTAATTAAAAATAAGTATTTTATAGACTTAAAGTTTATTTATTTCATAATGTCAGTCATAATGTATCACCACATTTTAGTTCATGTTGTACCATATTAGGTAGAATCTACTGGTGAAACCTGCACGGTCACGAAGGACCTGAGTTCATGCTCATCATGACATCCTCTACTGTTGCCCCGTCAGCGTATAGGTATATTTAGCGTAGACGGGTGTATTAAAATCCATAAAAATAATTATGCCCTCATTACTAACAATCTTCTATTCCTACCAATGAGAGTGGCCTACTTGTTTATTAATTTACAGACACCATAGTTAGCAATAATTTAAGTAGGTACTTTGAAATCGCCTACTTTTGTAAGTAAATGCTTCTAATGTTACGTTTACGAGTATATCTTCTATTGATATGGCAACCTATATGTTATAAACAAGAACCCTGTAAACGTACACTAGGAATAATTTATTCTGACAAAATAAATTTTGAATACTCTCAAACGTTTATGAATTAATATAATACTTTGATAGGTATATCTTGTTCTGATTACATTGTCAACTATGCTATATCAGACATTGAGGACAGAGGCGATTTGGGAAAAATGGACTGAACAGACATAGGAAATATAATTAAATAAAATTCACACATAATACCTACTGGAAGAATTAGAACATATCTTTACCGACAGTTAGTATTGACATTGAAACTAGTGTTTATGTTTTTTGAGAACTCATTACTATTTGTAATAGTAAATGAGTTCTCAAAAAAACATTAAAACGTTTAAAATTATAATTCAAATACTAGAAACATGTTAGAGAAAATAGTATGGTATTGTAATCACAAATAGAATTAATGATTCAACAATGGGAATCGTCCTTGTTTGAAATAATACGTTGTAAAATTTTAATATAAATTTAATTTTATTAAAAAATATTGATTTTATTATGAATCGAGTAATACACATAAAATTTCAAAAGTCTATGTCAAGCTGAACCGGGTAAAAGGGTAAGTTATAATAGTTATCAGAAAAAAAGCTATGTTGTGTATTTAAAAAGTTATAGACAATTTTTTCACTCCTGTTACTACGATAATATTATATATACTTTCAAGTGTAAGTTATTATTAATGATATGTACTTTTAAACTTGTTTTCGTTTTGTAATCCCAAAAGAAGAGGTACTTCTTTGAACGCTGGATTAAAATTTTAAATCTGCTCTAGTTTGGGTATAAATGTCAGGTTTGCCTAACCAAATACTAAGCCCAGTTTTAACTGATCAGATAAAAAGAAATGTACTGAGCTGGTTTGGCAAGTTCAGTAAACTTATAAAATAAAAAAATATTACAACTACTATGAAATTTAAAGTAAAATATTCTCAGATATTTAAAATATATAATATGTTTATGAATTTCTTCTATTGAATTTGATTCACGTATTCAGGTAAATCTCCGCCAGCTCAGCGGAGATTCTGTTCTTTTATATTATCATTTTCAGCAATAGATAGAGAGATTAAAGTAAAAGGTATAATATATGCATGTTTTAGTGTAGATAAAACAAAAGGAATCCAAAGAATTGTAATGCATCCGTGCAAAGCCGGGATGGGTTGCTAGTTGTGCATAATATAAATTTATATACATGCACGTTATGTACATTTAACCTAAATTGTCCCAATTTATTAACTTTCTGCTTATCAATATCGATATGAGCATACATAGATTAACAGTCATATCAATAATTAATTGTTATTTATTGATAAGATCTTTTTATTTATTTTTTATTACATTTAAATTTGTATAGACCGCGTATATCATGGTAAGTTAGAAAATTATTAGTTTTAGTGATTTATAATTTATTTCTCTAATTCTAAAAAACATTAATTGAAGTTACAATTAGTAAAAACTGGATTAACGATTTTGAAGAATCCTATTATAATATAATACACCGGATTTCGTCTATACGACGCCGTCGACGACCGACGTCGCGCACGGTTTCTAGTCAACCTTACGTAATGCAAAACTTTACTTTTCAGATTTTTTCATTTTTATGTGTGCTACTAATTCCTTCACTATGGGCGTTGGAAGTGCTCCCAACTTTAAGAGTGGACCTTCAGCCACCAGAAGAGTATACAAGAATGACAAGGAATGTTTTTACGTCCTGGATTACCATGCCAATAGATCATTTTGACCCACAGAACAAGGACACCTTTCGAATGGTAAGATCCTTTCACTTTGCCTATTAATTCGACTATATGTATGTATGTCCACCTTCAATGGCAGGGATTGTTAGTAATAGGGAATAGTAACCCCATTGTTAACGATTTGCCATGTTAAGTCGTCCTCCACGTGTTCCCCCCTGAAAACCATCTTGTTTAATTCCTGGTGAATTCGTTACGAGGGGCTAACTGACCTAACTTCATGCTCGTTCTATCATCCTTCGGTGTCCGCCACTGTACCCTTAGCACAGGCGGTTGCACAATAATTATGAAATATTTTTTATTTCAGGCAACTTATTAATAACTTGTACAGGCGACTTGTCCGCGTAAATAATGAAAAAATATTTAACACAATATAAGTATAAATAAGTTTCATCGTTTTGGCTTTAAACATGACGATACATCTATATAACCAATCTTTCAATCCTCTTGCAACCCTTTTTCACATTAAAAAGTAACCTATGTCCTTTCTCAGGATCAAGTCTATCTATGTCTGTTTCAAATTTCAATTTAAATCGGTTCAGTAATTTTGGCGTGTAAGCGAGACAGAGAAAGTTACTTTCTCATTTATAATATAAGTAAGGTACTTAATAAAGTAACTCTAAAAAGACAAAGAAAAATAACTTAATATAACAATAACTTTCATTCCCTATTTTATTTTACGACTACCCCCCCCCCCCCCCCAAATTTTACAAACATTTAATGTGATATTTATTGATATTTAAACAACAACCTAAAAATGAGTCTCAAACTTCTAGTTAAAAAATGACGATTTCTTCTGCAATCCCTGCCCTCTTACAATCCTTTTTTCACTTTTTTCACATTCAAAAGTACCTTTGTCCGGGTGTAAACTAACTGTGTACCAAATTTCATTAAAATTTTTGTTTTGTTTTGGAGCGTAAGACTGGCAGAAAGACAAACAGAGTTACTTTCACAGTTATAATATTAGTGGGGTATTTAAAAATCTACCCCAAAAGAACCAATGAAAATAGTTTCATCGTTCTAGTTTCAAAAATTACGAATTTACATAATTATACTTATTTTATTAAGGATATTTTTTTTACAAACATTGAATGTCGTATTTATTTATATTTAATCAACAGCCTCAAAAATAAGTTTAGCTTCTTTTGCATCCCCTATTTTATTTTGCCCCCTTAAGGGTAAATTTTTTACAAACAATGAATGTCATATTAATTATATTCAATCAACAGCCTCACAACTAAGTTTCAAGCCTCTAGCTTAAAAAATGACGATAACAACTTTCTTATTTTATTTTGCCCCCTTAAAGGTAATTTTTTTTACAAACAATGAATGTCATATTAATTATATTCAATCAACAGCCTCAAAATTAAGTTTCAAGCCTCTAACTTCAAAAATGACGAATTTACATAAAAACTTCATCCCCTATTTTATTTTGCCCCCTTAAAGGTAATTTTTTTTACAAACAATGAATGTCATATTAATTATATTCAATCAACAGCCTCCCTATTTTATTTTACCCCTTTAAGGGTATTTTTATTTTATTTTGTTTCCTTCCTTAAAAATGGTATTTTATTTTTTTTACAAACAATGAATGTCATATTAATTATATTCAATCAACAGCCTCAAAACTAAGTTTCAAGCCTCTAACTTCAAAAATGACGAATTTACATAAAAACTTCATCCCCTATTTTATTTTGCCCCCTTAAAGATAAATTTTTTACAAACAATGAATGTCATATTAATTATATTCAATCAACAGCCAAATATATCAAAGTAAGTTTCAAGTAAAAATCTATTCATACGGCCCTAGATTCAGACAAAAAAAATATACGAATTATACATAAAAACTTGCATACCCTATTTTATTATTCTCCCTTCTTTTTAAAGGGTAAAAATAACTCGCCGTCTTTTTTTTACAAACAATGAATGTCATATGTATTTATATTTAATCAACAGTCTCAACAATAAGTTTCAAGCTTCTAGCTTTAAAAATGACGAATTTACATAAAAACTTGCATCCCCTATTTTATTTTACCCCCTTAAGGATAATATTCTACATACATTGAATGTCATTTTTATTTATATTTAATCAACAGCCTCAAAAATAAGTTTCAAGCTTCTAGCTTCAAATATGACGATTCTTCCATACAATATTTCATCCCCCTTTTAACCCCTTACAACCCATACATACCATACATACATTACATCTCCCCTTTCAACCCCTTATAACCCTTTTTCGCATTCAAAAAGTATCCTATGTCCGTTCTCAGCTTTAAAAAATGACAATACATGCATACAACATTTTATCTCGTTAATTAGACCATCTGTATAGTCTCAAATTTCATTCAAATCGGTTCAGTAGTTTTGGCGTAAAAGTTCGAGACTTTTAAGACAGACAGACAGAGTTACTTTCGCATTTTATAATCGTTCTAGCTTATTAAAAACTTTTATCTGCTATTTTATTTTACCCCTTGAATGGTGACAAGATATTTACAAATTTAAGGATTATATAACAATATTGGCCCATATTATAATTGCATATATACGTATAAAATAATAAAATTTTACAGCGTTACATGTATAATGAGGATTTCTTTGGTGGAGCTGGTTATCCAATATTTATATTAGTTGGTGGGGATTATATTTATGTATTTATAAAATAAAATTGGACAATATTAGAAGGTT